GCAGCACAATTGTTTCAAAGAAGATTAGGGAAAAAAACCCCATAGCAGTAGAGACTAAGACCTTTTGTTCTAAATTTAGTACAGTGTATGCAACTTGGGAGTTCCAGCTACTGCTATGGTCAGAAATTCTGCAATCATTTATTTCTTCTAGGTGTGACAGGAACAATTTAAAGATTACCCCCAATGGCTCACATCCCTGTAGAATCCCCTCCCACTGAGTTCAGGGGGAGACCTGTGACTATGATGGGATATCACTCCTATGATTAGGTTATGTTACATGGCACAGTTGACTTTAAGAAAGGGGGATTATCCTTGGTGGGTATGATCTAATCAGGCTCTTAACAAGGTGCAAGACTCCTTCTTCCTGGTGAAAAGGATTCAAAATGCTAGAGACTCTTTCTGAGAGAGATTCTCCACTCCTGGCTTTGAAAATGGAGAGGGCCATAAGGGCAAAGAATGCAGTCAATTTCTAGCAGCTAAGAGTGGCCTCTGTCTGATACCCAGCTAGGAAATGGGGACCTCAGTCCTACACTACGAGGAACTCAATTCTACCAATAACCTGAATCCTTGAAGTGGATCCTTGCCCAGAAACTCCAGATAAGAATGCAGCCCAACCAACAAGACATCGTGAGAGTGAGGACCTAAGCAGAGAACACAAATGAGTTGCACCTAGACTACTGACTAACAGAACAGTGAGAAAACCAATGGGTGTTATTTTAAACCACTGATTGTGATAATTTGTTATGCAGCAATGAAAAACTAATGCAATGGATATCTCAAAGGATCAATCAAGACTGATTTTTAGAACTGTCTCAAAGTTTCAACTCAATAAATATTTCTACACAATGAGTAATTTGTAAAGTTTACAAAGTATTTTCTCCTATATACTTTTATTTAATCATCCCAGCTCGTAATCATCCCACTCAGTAAAAAGAATATCTTTATTTCTCCACTCTAAATGTCTTTTATTTTATTTTTTCTCCCCAAAGCCCCAGTACATAGTTGTATATCCTAGTTGTACACCTTTCTAGTTCTTCTATGTGGGATGCTGCCACAGCATGGCTTGATGAGTGATGTGTAGGTCTGCGCCCAGGATCCGAACTGGTGAACCCCAGGCCACCAAAGCAGAGTGGGTGAACTTAACCACTACACCACCAGGCTGGCCCCTATTTTTATTTTTTTTTAACAGCATCTCATATAGGGTAATTGTATCGCTCAAGATCGCAAAGGCAGACAGTGGAATGATACCCAAAATTTAAAACAAGGCAAAGTTTAACTAAGTAAGGATGTTCTTAAAAGTGTGAGGCCAGGAGTAGTATTAAACACTTAAGACTCACCAGGACTGGGCCTAGGGTGAGGCAAGCGAGGCATGCACCTGAGCTCAAATTTTAAGGTAAGAGGCGGACCAAAAAGTTTCGATAATCAGGGTAAATTATGTTTCATGCAACATTTTTAAAAAATCAAAATTAATATCAAAAATCCATAATAAGGAAATATCACTCTTTTAAATAAAGACACCATCCATGGGCTGAAAATGGGGTGGGACAAGTGAGGCACTCATTCTCAGGGTTATGCAAGTGCAAGGTCAGATCTTGTGTATTTTTAAAACTTTGATATTTTGTTCCTCACTCACCTCACCTTAGTCCAGGCCCTGACTCAGCTACTTGTACCCTTCAACACTTCCTTATCTTCCATTTACTAGGAGGTATTAACATGTTCTCTTCTTTCTTAAATAAACTCCTTACTCAGTTATTTTGGTTGCCTGGCCAGTGGCAAAGTTCAAAAATATAGTTCTCTTGATCCGACAAATTGGCTCCTCGCTATGTTAGTTTGAGCATGGTGTCACAAGTATTGGACTCACTGAAGATCCATCCATTCCTCTAAAATGGCCTTGTTCACTAATATGTCCTGTTTCTCCTTAATGTCATTATCTTGGCTGGAACTAATGTCTTAGAAAGTCATGCATGAGGATGAGGAAACCTTGAGAACTTCAGTGCTTTATTGGCAGTGTGGCCATTGAAATGGTTGAAATGATATTGGAAGCAGCAGGTTTAAGGGTGGACAATTTGTCCAAGTTGGGCTGGAGCAGAAGGTAAGGGTAAACAGTCTTCCGCCACTGAAAGTCTAAAGGTGTTGTCAGGGGCCAAATCACTCTAGATGACTTCTTCTGCTTGAGAAGGTGTTACAATACCGTTCAGGGAGGAGCAGGGTAGGTAGAGGAACGGGGGGAGATGGTTCTAACAGCTGAATGGTGACAAACCTGGGTTTACAACCTAAGACTCCTTACTCATAATTTCAGTGTCTTTGCTCTATTAACATTGTATATATTTCCAGGCTTATTAACCTAGAAATATGCCAAAAAAGTTACCTACTCAAGAAGTAACCATTCACTCAAAAAATCTAAATGTTTAATTTACTGGCAAGTCAAATGAGAAGTTGGAAAATTTAATAAATTGAAGCAACATATTGACATATTTATTCAAACAAATCAGATAGTTTTCCATTGACTACATTAATAAATAGAGTCCTGATATAAAGTCCATTAGGACAACCCTATATTGAATGTTTGTGCCCAGAGAAAAGAGTGCCACAACTTATTATTTTTTATGTCTACATGCATACAAGCTAAGATAGTAACAACATTCATACTATTTGCCATATCCACATTAGAATTCATAAAGAAAAAATGAACCTCAGCTGGCAAACTGACTGGTTAGCTATATGGAAAGAGCACAGAAACTACATCCCTTCAAAGAAAGCTAGCTTTGAATAAATCATTGTAAAATTTTCTGTTTTCCAAAATTATAACTATCTGTGCGCACAAGTAACATGTCATGTGACAAAGACTAGGGCCTGAACATTGATTATTTTAATGCTGCTCATTAATAATCATTAATAACAGATGAATTATTCAAACAGTTATTAACTGGTTTAGTTCTGAAGCAAGATTCTTTGTTCCTTAAAATTACAAAAAATATAACACAATTTTGAGCCAAACTCAGAGTTTTCTGATATTGATTAGACAAAGAGAGTTAGCTTTCTTTATCTATCTATATATCAATTTCTCTAGGCAGTAAAATGGGGCTCACTTCAAGAAAACAAAATGGAGAATAATGAAAGGTTCTACCTACAGATATATTTCAGCTAATAATCTCAGAAGGAATGATAGAATTGGAGAATTATAATTCAGCAGCCTCTAATAGATTAATGGATGACAGTGATGATCTCCAATGACTGCCAACATTACCATAAACAACAGACCTTACGTGTCTCCTAACTGAACTGCACAGTGTCACTTCTGGAGTGGTTTTGCCAACAAAGAGACAAATAAATAAACCTCAATTTGAACAAGTTTCTTACTATAACTTGAAGATTATTGATGCTGAACGTTAGGTATGTTGAGTTATTTTATTCTCTAAAGTTGTATATGACAGAATTTCTATAACACAGGGATTTAATTATAAATATTATGTCTTTAAATTTGAAAACCCAAGTAAAATGAAACAATTTTTAACAAAATATACATCACTAAATAGATCCATAAAGAAGTGTAAAACTTTCATTGAACAATACAAGCTGAAACTGTAGCCCTGCTACATTTTGCCCTAAAACCAGCCAGATTTAAAAGCCATTACACCAAATGGGAAGGTAAAAGCTAATCACCATATTAAGTAAATTCTTCTAAATCATACAAGAAAATGGGAAATTACTCAGCCACTTTAACAGGCTAGCTCTCCTTGATACAAAGACCAGATGAGTATGCCCCAAGAAAAGAACAGCTGAGTCAAGCTCACTTATATAGAGACAGATATTCTAAATAAATTCATAGCACATCCAATAGAGAAGTGAAGTAAATGAAGAAATAGGCTATGTCCAAGGAATGCAAAGATAATATCATGTTAGAAAAAACTATGAACTGGAATTCACTCTGTTAACAGATAGAGAAGGGAAAGCATTTGAGCATGTGCAGGAGTAAAGAAAAAAACCTTTGATAAAAATTCAACACCAGTTTATGGTAATAACTTTTAGCAAAGTTACATTAGAATGGGATTTTTATATTGTAAAATCAATAGCAAACATACCTCAGTGTGAAATATTCGAAAAATTCCCAATAAAGTCCAGAAAAGGACATGCAGGTATGGTACCAATTCTATTCTTCAAACCTGGACTGGACTGCATAGCCAGTATACAGCCATACACAGGAATACCTAAATAAAAGTTATGAATAATGAAAAGAAAGATAATATGATCCTCTAGTGCAAAAGCCCAAATAAATTGGCTGCCAAATATTCAAATGTATCAGGAACTTCAGGAAGCTGGTGTAGAAGATCACTATAGCAAAATCAGGAGTCTAGTCACACGAAAGAACTAATTAGAATACGGAATAGAAAATATACCATTCAAAACAGCAGCAATATCCATATACCTAGAAACAGAACAAATATGTACATGATCTTTACGGAAGCAAATATGAAAAAATTACTGATAGACTTAGATAACAGAAGTCTCAAATAGAGCAAGAGACTATGTTTATTCATGGTGAGCAGAATATTGTACAGATGTGAATTATCCTTAAATTGTTTACAGATTTATGCCTTACCTGATGGGTTTGGCCTGGGGTCAGCAGAGGCGAGGGAGCTCAGAACTTACAAGGCGTCAAGGTAAGACACTGAGTGAGGACTAAGGGGATGAACCTACTCTAAAAGAAGGGGTCACAAAGAGCCCCTCCCCCTACTGTCAGTCTTGGGTGGTCCCAGGCATGGCTGCTAGGCTCGGGGTCCCCCCTTACTCCCTACTGGGGGTTCTAAGGGAAATGAGAGCCTTGGCTGGAGGCCAGCTAACTCAGGTCAGCAGACTGAGAAGTCCCAGGCCTTATTAGGAGTCAGAAAAGACACGTGTGTGACCTCTCCGCGATTCCTCTGCCCGCAGAGAAGAGCAGGGGGAGCCTGGAACCATAGGCCTGCAGTTATGCAGGGAAGCCAGGGGCAGGGTTTGGGGGGGGGTGGCCGGAAGTGCTCACTCTGACTTCCGCAGCACCAACTGTAGAACCAACCGCAGGCTTTGGTCTGAGAGGTGTGGCCTCACGTCAGCAGAGGGAGGAGTCCCAGGATTTGACAGGTGCCAAAGTGAGTAACTTTTGTTAGAACTGAAAGAACAGGCTCCTCCAAGAACTGAAGTGGCTGCACAGAGCCCCGCCCTACTCTGGCATGCCCCGCCCCACCCTGTCAAGTCTAAGGGACTCAAATATGGCTGTTAGGCCTAACGCCCGCCCCCTACTTCCGCCTAGGGAAGTTTTGCGTGGGAAGCCTTGGTCTGAAGGGGCAGCCTCAAGGCAGCAGAGAGTAGTTAAAGGACCCATCAGGAGTCAAATTTACTATCCTGAGTTAGAACTGAGGTGACAAGCCCTGGCAATACAGAAGAGGTCCACAAAGTCCTGCCCGCCCCTCTCATGGGGGTCCCTCAAATAGTACCCTTAAGACAACCAGCGGAAATGGCTTTTCTTGTGAGCCAAGCTAGAAGCTCCCTTCTGAGGCTGTGCACACCATCTCTTCCTCTATCTTCTAGGGTGACCTCTTCATCAACCTAACTGCTTCAGCACCTGCCAGCTGTCCCTCACCAGAGTCATCATGCCTCGAGGGCAGAAGAGCAAGCTCCGCGCCCGCGAGAAACGCCGCCAGGCCCGTGCTGAGACCAAGGGGCTGGAGGGTGCTCAGGCCACTGCAGCAGCAGAAGGAGAGTCCCCCTCCTCTGCCTGTCTTCCCTTTGGAGGTGAACCTCAGAATTTGCCTGCTGCTGACATACCTAGCACTCCTCTGGCGCCTCAGGGAGCCCCATCTACCACCAACACTATGGCAGCTGATTCATGCACCTATCCAGATGAAGATTCCAGCCAAGATGAGAAAAACGCCACATCCTCCAAGGGCACTAAGGGCAGGAGCGGAGATCCTTTAAACGACAAGGTGGTTTTGATGGTGCAGTTCCTGCTGCAGAAGTATCAAAAGAAAGAGCCAATTACGAAGGCAGACATGCTGAAGTTAGTTACCAAAAACTACAAGCCTCATTTCAATGAGATCCTCAGGAGATCGTCTGAGTACATGGAGCTGGCCTTTGGTGTTGATTTGAAGGAAGTGGATCCCATCAGGCACTGGTATGCCCTTGTCAACAAACTAGAGCTCACCTTCGATGGAACAATGAATAATGAGGAGGGCATGCCCAAGACCAGCCTCCTGATGATTGTGCTGAGTGTGATCTTCATGCAAGGCAACTGTGCCCCCGAGGAAGAGGTCTGGAAAGTGCTGAATATGATGGGTGTATATGCTGATAGGAAGCACTTCATCTATGGGGAGCCCAGGAAGATCATCACCGAAGATTTGGTGCAGCTAAACTACCTGGAGTACCAGCAGGTGCCCAACAGTGATCCTCCACGCTATGAATTCCTGTGGGGCCCAAGAGCCCATGCTGAAACCAGCAAGATGAAAGTCCTGGAGTTTTTAGCCAGGCTTCATGATACCATCCCCAGTGCCTTCCCATCCTGGTATGAAGAGGCTTTGAAAGATGAGGAAGAGAGGGCCCGAGCCAGAGCTGCAGCCAGGGCTCGTACCGCTGCTGCCATGGCCAGTGCACGTTCCAGGGCCATGGCCAGAAACTTCTCCCACACTAAGTGAAGTCTGAGGCTGGTTTATCACTTTTTTGGTTGAAAAGGTGTGTCAATTTGTAATAGTGGAGGCCAGGGTGGGGCTGGAGAAGTGCATATTATCTTTGCGTTCCTGTTCTATATTGGTCACTTGGAGTTTTACCTTTCTTTCTTTCTTTCTTTTCTTTTTTAGGTTATACTTTAAATGTTGAAGCCCAAGGCAGTTTGTTTTCTTTGTGGAAGAAAAGAGCAATCAACTTTCTAAGAAGTGGATGGCCCGGGTGGGTCTGGTGGGAACACAGTATATATCATCTTTGTGTTCTTGTTCTATGTGGTAAACTTAGAGTTTTATCTTTCTTTCTCTCTTTCTTTCTTTCTTTCCTTTTGTTATATTTCAAATGTTATTTCTTTAATAGAAGTTTTAAATAATTTCAGAATCTAAATTTATGAATGATATTGGTTACATATTTATTGCCATTTAATAGATTTAAGATTAGAAGTTTTATTATTTTGTAAAAAAAATTGGGAAACTTTTCATATTTACTGAACCAGAACAGCACAACATGGCATGTAACAGTTATTTTCTTGGAAATGTGAAAAAATGTAGCAGTAAAAGTATTGAGATCAAAAAAATAGAGGGGGAAAAGTAAAAGATGTTCAGTTCCTGGTTTCCTTTGTCCATTTTAGTCTGCTATGGTGTAAAAATAAAAGATACATAGGTGGATTAACTTTGTTAAAGAATGTAGTAAAAATAAAATGTTTATAAACTAGAATTCATGCTCACTGGCTCATTCATTCTCCAACTATTAATTGAGCATCTGCTCTTTTAAAGTTGCCATGTTAAAAGTGGGGAAACTAGGATACAAAACACCCCAGCCCTTAGAATTTTATAGTCAAGGAGGAGTAATCAAGCAGAGAAGATGGTGAAATACCCTCTGAGACCTAAAGGACAAGTGAGAAGGAATAAGGAGGTAAGTGGGGGGTGGTTGGGAGAAGTGGGAAGGGGAGGGGTGTCTGGCTGAAAACAATAAGGTACAAATTCCCCGAGGAAAGACAGTTTGGGGTTTTGGGAAACTTCATGTCCCTCAGTTAGATATACTGTTAATTTAAGCTGGGTTGTAGGCTAGATGAGGCTGTGGGACTGGGGAGCAGAGGCCAGATTTACAGATGGTGTTTCTCAACATTGAAGGACAAAACCCTGGAATGCAAACCTGCTCTTAAGAGTTTCTTTAGTATTATCAATAAACCAGAGGAAAACCTCCTCCTGGGGCAGAAAGGGAAGGTGTCCTGTGCTCTTGTTCATGTGCAGTTGAACACAGAGCACAATCTAGTTCTTTTATGCACAGTGTCTTCAAGGAATGTCTGATAAATAAGGGTGATACTCTAAGGGATGTTGAGAAGTTACTATGTTGGCTCTCTTTGCCATGAACTGGATGGGAGAACCAGATCTCAATGCATAAAAGGGCATTTTAAGTAGGTTATCTCGAGTATAATTTTGAAAAACTCTTCGGGAGGGCTTCATATTTGGTGGTGATGAAATGAATGAAAATAGGGGTGGTTTGGATGAAAAGGCACCTGGGAAGGAAGGTATTAGTCTTTGACACAAATTCTAGGACATCTGAGTTGCATTCAACTGGGAAAGACTCTCCTCACTCAAATTAAGTAACCTATCCTCAAATGGGGGAAAATTTATTTAGTTTTACTTGCTAAGGAGCATTATGGGCTAATTTGGTGTCATTTGCCCTAGAAAGCTGCATGTTCTGTGATATCTCCTGAATTAATAAAAAATAAATCCTCCCCCCCGAGGCGAAGGTATTATCAACTGCGGTTTAAAAAAAGAAAAAATCAGGGGCCAGCCCCGTGGCCAAGTGGTTCAGTTCGCACGCTCTGCTTCAGCGGCCCGGGTTTCTACCGGTTTGGATCCTGGGCGCGGACACGGCACGGCTCATCAAGCCATGCTGAGGTGGCGTCCCACACAGCACAGCTAGAGGCATTCACAACTAGAATATACAACTATGTACTGGGGGGCTTTGGGGAGGAAGAAGAAGAAGAAGGAGGAGGAGGGGGAGGGGGAGGGGGAGGGGGAGGAAAAGAAGAAGAGATTGACAACAGGTGTTAGCTCAGGTGCCAATCTAAAGAAAACAAAAAAATCCTATGATAACTGCCATTCATTAAAGACCAATATTTTCCAATGACTCTGCCAAGTGCTCCATATCCATTACGAATATTCCAACAGTCCTACAAGATAGAACTTATCAGACATACTTCACAGATGAAGAACTTGTGATTTTCTCAAGTTCATATGGCTGATAAACGAAAGAGCTGGGACTAGACCCCAGGTCCAAATTTTTCTAGACCCCACACTTTTCCACTCCTCCAGCATGAGGCGGACCTTCCATCTCTTCATTTTCTATTCTCACTACTCCAAGATGTATCGCAGGCAATTAAAAAACAGGACTCTCTAGCCAAGGTACCAAAAGCAGTGCTGATGAAGGAAGGTGAATATGAGAATAAAGCACAGCTTGGGGACTGTCTGTGGGCTTCATTTGCTGAGGATCCTCTTGTCCCTAGCCCAAGGCAGCCTGGACAGCTGACTCTGCCCAGGTGCTGGCACAAGGCCTGTACTAGCACTTTCCTGAATTACAGCTCTTGTCCCCTGGGTCTTCCCCCGTGTGCCCTCCTGTCCAAATTGGAGCCTCATATGCTGACCAGCTCTTCGCTGTGTCCTCTGGAGGCTGCGCTCTGCTTCCTGTGACAAAGGCAGTCCAGAATCACCTGCCCTCCCCTTGATTGAAGCATTCCAACTCTCTGCAGGTGTGCCTTGGATGTTCCATTCCTCTTGGTGAGACTGTTGACAGTGAAGTTTAGATACCTGTTTACCACAGCCCCACTCCTCCACCCCACATCTCTACAACAGTCTCAAAGTGTATTCCAAATGAGCTGGTGATTAGAGCCTTATTTCTTACAGAATATACTGGCTCTTGGGATGTAATTGAAGTTAGACAGGGGGTGTTGTAAACAGCCCAGATATTGTTAGTAGGATTTTAAAGGAGTGTGTTATTTGAGACTGGCCACGGAACACACAAACCAATGAGTGAGCTTACCTCGATGGTCAATAACCAAAGCCCCCCTCATAAGTCGGAGAAGAGGAAAGACCATGGAATCACTGTGTAGCAAACATCTACTGAGGCTGAATGCCTCAGAACCCCGGAGTTGCTCTAAGCGGGGAAAAATGGTTTCTTGGCAGACATACTATCTTTGAATAGCAAAGATTAAAATAATTTGCCATCCTTCTGCTGCCTCTTATCTCAGTAATTGACCCAGAGGAAAATCTGGTTTTTCCTTGTGCCTAATGACACTCTTGTATGTTCAATCATGCTGAGAGTTGCTGGGACTCACAAGTTAAGGTTTTTACTGTGCATCAATAGAAGAACATTCTCACCCTATTGAGACTCTAGAATTTATTTCAAAGGTGAGTTAGGAACGTGCTATTGAGTGAAAAACGTGAGCTCTCCCCACAGAGATTTTACAGGGTCCTTTTGAAAATTAAATGCGATCCAGGGTTTGAAAGCACCTCCCACATAGCAGGCTTGGAAAAAAAGTTGGAGAATTGCAAGACAAACTGACCTCCTTAGAAGCTCCTCCAAGAAATGAAGAGGGTTGTTTTCATATAAATTCTAATAGGTGCTCTTTTATTGAGCACCTACTATGTAACGGTTTTGGGGAGAGACTGCAAGTGTTCATCCACATGGTGTCTAGCTCTCCTTCCTCAGCTCATGGGGAGATTACATTCCCAGTCCACTTGTACTGAGGAAGGGTCATGTGACTACACAGACACTGAAATATGAACAGAAACCATGTTTGTCACCTCCAGGCCAAGGTATTTAAAAGCCACTGTGCCACCTGCATGCTTTCTGTTCCATTCAGCAGCAAACACAAAGATCCCTTGTTGAGGAGTTGGAACCACTTGATGGGAGCAGCCTGGATATCTGGGTCATCTGACAGTGGAGGCCCCTGCCCACCCACATCAGATTTTATGCGTATGAGACATAAACTTTGGTTGTTTTAAGCCATTGTAGGTTTGCAGATTTTGTCTATTGCATCAGCCAGCAGTTACTTTATTTGACTAATGCACAGCTACCATTTTTGTGGCTAGATGTATTTAAATATTTTAATTACAAAGGTCATAGAACATATATTCTTGTTGCAAAAAAATTCTAACATACAGATAAATTACAATTTCCCCTTTTCCTCAAAATTCAGCCCCTTCCTCAGAGGTAACCACAATTAACAATCTGGTGTGTGTCATTTTAAAGCTAATCTGAGGCTTTTTCATAAATAAGTATGCTATAAAAATATATAATTTTTTTTTTCTGGGAAACGTTCGCCCTGAGCTAACATCTGTTGCCAATCTTCCTGTTTTTTATTTTTTTATTTTTTACCTCCCCAAAGCCCCAGTACATAGTTGTATATTCTAGTTGTAAGTTCTTCTGGTTCCTCTATGTGAACCACTGACACAGCATGGCTATTGACAGAGGAGTGGTGTGGCTCCAAGGCTGGGAACCATTCGCAGGCCGCCAAAGCAGAGTGCACCAAACTTTAACCACTAGGCCATCAGGGCTGGCTCAAAAAATATATTAATTTTTAACTTACATGATTAGCAATGTACATATTGTTCTACCTCTTGAACTTGTCACTTAATAAAATGAATGCAGGATATTTCCATGAGAGAACATATAGATCCATTAGACTCTTTTAACTACTTTCTAGAATTCTTTTTTGTAAAGCAGGTTTATTGAAATATAATTGATATACAAAAAACTCCACAGATTTAGTATATACAATTTCATGAGTTTGGGCATATGTATACACCTGTGAAATCATCACCCATGATGAAGGTAACAGACATCCCTAACCTCCTAAAGCTTCCTTGTATCCCTTTGGGTTTTTTCTTTCATGGTAAAAATACTTAACATGAGATCTACTCTCTTAAAAAAACTTTAAGTGCATAATACAGTATTGTTAACTATAGGCACTATGCTGTGCAGTAGATCTCTAGAACTAATTTATCTTGCATATCTGAACCTTTATACCAATTGAACGACTTCCCATTTTCCCCTCCCCCAGTTCCTGGTAACCACAGTTCTGTTCTCTGCTTTTATGAGTTTGATGATTTTAGGTACCACATAGAAATAGAACCATGCAGTATTTGTCCTTCTATGACTGGCTTTGTTCACTTAGCATAATATCCTTCAGGTTGCAAATGGCAGGATTTCCTCTTTTAAGGCTGAATAATATTCCACTGTGTGTGTATATCTATATTTATATCTATACCACATTTTCTTTATCTATTTATCTTTGATGGACATTTGGGTTCTTTCCATAACTTAGCTGTTGTAAACAGTGCTGCAAGGAACATGAGAATGCAGATATTGCTCCTAGGTCTTGATTTCCATCCTTTTGAGTATGTACCCAGAAATGAGATTGCTAGATCATATGGCAGCTCTATTTTTAATTTTTTAAGGAAACTTCATACCGTTTTCTGTAGTGGCTGTACCATTTTACATTCCCACCAACAGTCTAGAAGAGTTCAGTTTCTCCACATCCTCGCCAACACTTAATTATCTTTTTTTGTTAAGGTTGGCACCTGAGCTAACATTTGTTGCCAATCTTCCTTTCTTCTTCTCCTCCTCCTCCTCCTCCTTCTTCTTCCCAAAGCCCCCCACTACATAGTTGTATATTCTAGTTGTATGTCCTTCTGGTTGTGCTGTGTGGGATGCTGCCTCAGCATGGCTTGATGAGCAGTGCTAGGTCTGCACCCAGGATCTGAACCAGGGAAACCCTGGGCCTCCAAAGCGGAGCGCACAAACTTAACCACTCAGCAACACACTGGCCCCTCTTTTTTTTTTTTTAATAATCATCCTAACTGATGTGAGGTGATAGCTCATTGTGGTTTTGATTTTCATTTCTCTGATGATTAGTGATATTGAGCATCTTTTCATGTACCTGTTGGCCATTTGAATGAGAGATCAGGGAGAATCAGAAGCAATCAAAGTGTTGTAAGTTTTGATTACACACAAACGTTAATCACATATCATCATGTTCCAATCTGCCCTCCAAAAAGAGGAACAGGTGAGGATTATCCTACCTATGTTTATGTGATAATTAATTGAACCATTCTCCTCCTAATGGACATAAAAATCACTTCCCATTTGTTGGTATGATTAACAGGACTGAAATCAACATCTTTGAACATGGAATCTTGGGTAAATATGCATGCTTTCTTATGGGAAAGACATAGCAAAGTGTAAATTTGATTAAAGTGGGCAAAGTGTGAAGACTGAAAATTTTTACAAATATTACTGAAATTCTGTTCCAAAAATGCCATACCAATTCATAGTCTCTCAGATTAATGTATGTGAATGCTTTATATTTTCATAGACCCCTTATTTTATCAGTCTTTTAAATTTTGGTCAAATTTTGGGATGAAAGATATTGTCTTATTATTACTTTAATTTTTATTTCCTTTTTTTTCCAATTAAGTTGATAATAAAATTAAATTAATCCCTTACCCATATAGAGCTGGATTTCTGCATTAATGTCTTGAGTACTTGGTTTCTTCGAGGCATACTTTACATTCTGAAATATCAGCAACATCTCTCCTTTACTTTGAAAAGTAAGGGCTTGATCAGGATGACCAGTTGCTGGGCAATGGAGCCAGAAGGACACCCTTAGCTAGTGAAGATCTGAAGGCAGAGCAGTTGCCAGAGTCCGTGAGAGAGACCACATGTAAAACCTTGTCCAGAGAGCTGAAGGCAGGCTGGCAGTCAGTGTTCTGGATCTAGAGTTCAGCATAAGGTGGAGAAGGGACCATAAGGAGAGAAGATGGGGAATCTGGGTGAAGGGTCCAAGACAACTTTTGTTTATAGGCTTGGGATCTTCCTGTTTTATGTGGTATCTTGGAGATCTTTCTTTCTCTTTCTATTTGTTTTCATTCTTTTTAAATTTCTTTCATTCTTTCTCAGTTAATTTCTAAATGTTGTCCCTTTTATGAGAAGATTTAAGTAGCTTCAGAGGGTAAGTTTATGAATCAAAACTTGATACACTCATTCCTGTGATCAGATTTAAGAGTAGGAGCTATGTAATTTGGAAAGCAAATTGGGAAATCTTCCATCTCATTTTATGATATGGAACAAGATACCATGGCATTGAGTAGTTTCACTGGAAATATGAAAGACTTCAGTAGTAAAATTGTTGGTCTCAAGAAATAATGTGAAAAGCGGTCAACTCATGGCTTTCCTAATACTTTGTCAGTCTATAAAATTAAAAGATGCATACGTGGATATGCTTAACTTACCCAAGAATGTAGGAGAAATTGGAACTTAAATTAGATAGCATGTTCATTGGCTCATTTATCCTCTAAACATTAACTGAGCATCTGCTCTTTGGAAGACAGCTTGATTTTCTTGGGGATAGTAGGGATTTTGTGTCTAGGAGCAGTCGGAAGTTATGAGATATCAGGGTAGCTCAGAAGGACACCTAAAAAGGAATGAAGAAGAGGTGGGAACCCACATGAGAGCAGTTAAATGTAAATGCCCTGTGGCAAATCCATTTGGGCATTTGGGAAACCAGTCTTGCAGTAGGAAGGAAGTTTTTAGCGCAGCTGTATGGTGGGTGAGGTAAGGCTGTGGGAGACTCTCAGAAGGTGTGTCTCAGAGTTGAGAGACCAAAGGCTAGAATGCAAAATGGCTCTTAACAGTTACTCTTGAATCCTAGATACACTAGAGAGAAACTTTCTACTGGGAGAGGCAAGGTAGGTGTCATGAGTACTTGTCCTCATACATCTGATTACAGTTTGCAAAGTAATTGTTTTACATTCTCAACTGCAAACGCCTGCTGTATTCCATCAAGAAGGGAGGATGACTCAGAAGGTGGAAACAGGAGCCCAAAAGATGGAGGTGATAGCCAGAGGAATTATTCTCAGGCTTAGAAATCTCATCAAGGTACTGACACTATTTGCCCATTGAGATTTCAGAACTGCCATTGTCCAGTGACTCTTGTACCTCCTATTTGCTTGTTTCTAAACAGAAATGTCTACAGGTGTTGTTCTATTTCTGTGTCACTATTGTACACTGGATGTGTTGGGACAGATGATTTATCTCTTCATTTCATAGGCCCAACTGGTATGCTTAAAGAACTTTCCCCCAAGAGCCTCATCACCTGCAGTTGGACCTGATTTGGATGCTGAGACTTGGACTTTGTGCTGATTGTTGTAATGGGACAAGACTTTTTGGGATCCTGGGAGAAGGTGAATGAATTTTGCATAAGGTGGGGACATGAGACATTGGGACCTGGAGGGTGGGCTGTGGCAGATGGAATCTCATGGGCCCCCATGCCCCCCACCTCCTGGTGATCACGCCTTTGTGTACCCATAACCTTGAGTGTGTGTAGGGCCTGAGACTTGCTTCTAACCAATATTTCATGACAAAGGTGATAAGATGTCACCCCCATGACTACATTATGTTATGTGTGTTGGGGAACTAATTAGAAACAAACTATCCTACTGACTCAAAAATTCCTCTCCACAAAATAAGTAAAATAAAAGACAAATCCAAACTTAATAAGGAGAGAGCTTTCTTCAGAAAGGATTATTGCAATGGTGGAAAGGGACTTTTGAAATAGGGGGAGGGAAACGGTTGCAATAGGGGGAAGCTGTGACCACAAGATCTGCGAGGATCTCAAGCATTAGGCAAAAAGAGATTTTCTTCTGTAGAGACGAGTAAACAAGGCGGGAAAGATGTGGGAAAGTGGGATGAAAGGGCAATGTGATTGGATCAGTGAATGTTTTACCCTGAGGCCCACCTATTCTCAAGAGGGGTTGTATGCTGGCTCAGGTGAGGGTGGGCCAGAGTTTAGGAGCCTGGAGGAAGAAGAAAGGCTTAATGAAAGTTTAGCTAATGAGCATTTGGTTTCAACTCATCAGTGGTGACAAGCAGTTCAACTAATCATTTATGAGGCTAAGAATGGAAATTTTGAGGGTCTGTGCCTGGCCTCATCATAGGTAAACAAAGGAGCATCCACAAGTCTTGTCTGTTATAAGGGTAAGAATGGTTCTTGGTGGTAAGCTGTTTCCTGGAACACAAAATGGTGGAATCTTTTAACCTTCACTGTTTTCCAGGATCACAGGGCTTAGGTAAGATTCAACATTATCATATAGAAAAGAAAAAAGTTTTATTATTGAACAAGCATTAAACTGGATATGATGTGCATCACAGGCAAGAAACTAAAGAGATAGCAAAATCAAAGAGAAATCTCACCCTTTTATGTAGCCAAGCAGATACAACCTGTTACATCCATGTTCTCAAGATAAAAGATAACTAGGCCTCAAGTAAGAGGACTTGATGTCACCATTTGTCAGACACATTTCTTCCTAAATGCACCTGGTAATTGGGATGGCCCTCTATGTTAGCTTTTATCCAAAGGAAAACATTCCTGGGTTGAAAAATTGGCAAGAAACTTATTTAGCTTTTAAAAGAGAAAGGCTTTACCTTTACAAGTTTTCTAAAGTAAATGCTCTCAAAAAAGGAGACAGGGGAAGTCTCATTCTTTTTTTTCTGGCACCAGAAGAATTAATTATTTTTAATTTTTATTTTTTATTAGTCTCTACAATACCCTCCCTTTGTTACTACAAAATGGTAACACTACAGTTTTTTGTTTTTGTTTTTGTTTTGTTTTTTGAGGAAGATTAGCCCTGAGCTAGCATCTGCTGCCAATCCCCCTGTTTTCACTAAAGAAGACTGGCCCTGAGCTAACATCTGTGCCCATCTTCCTCTACCTTATATGTGGGACGCCTGCCACAGCATGGCTTGTCAAGTGGTGCCATGTCTGCACCCCTGATCCGAACCGATGAACCCCAGGCTGCTGAAGCAGAACATGTGCACTTAACCACTGTGCTACCAGGCCGGCCCCAACACTACAGTTTTAAAAATTACTTCCATTGCCATTTCTACCTCTCTGGGCAAATTGCAGCCATTTAAATATCTAACAAGTACATAGTAAATTACAAGGCAATGCAATTATAGAATTAAAGTAGGATGGATTTAAAAATTCAGTACATTGCTTTGGGAGAAAAAAAAATCTTTAAATATGTTATACCAATGGTGAATGTTTAAAGGAGATTCTTGATTAGCAATGTGCAAGAATTCTCCTTCAGCATACATTAATTTTACAAACTATTGTGACGCTTTATTGGTCAAGCTTTCAAATGATTAACTATCTGAGTATTACTTAGTAGTTCCTTACAAAATATTACCCTATCCAAGCCTAAGGGGGAGCTTAACTTTAGAGCCTGATAATCTAAATTTTTAACTAATAATTTTTCTTGCAAGGCCCAATAAATTTCTCTTGAGTTTCCCTCAATCACATAAGTAACATAACATTTACATGATGACTTGGGCCCTTCAGTAATCCATCTCCCCAAATAATTTTTCCCAGATGTGAAACATGAAGACACCCATGGCAATTATCTAGTATCAAAATCTTGGGCCAGCCCCATGGTCGAGTAAAGTTCCATGTGCTCTGCTTCAGTGGCCCAGGTTCATAAGTTCAGATCCTGGGCACAGAACTACTCCACTCATCAGCCATGCTGTGGAGGCATTGCACATACAAAAAATAGAGGAGGATTGGCTCAGATGTTAGCTCAGGGATAGTCTTCCTCAGCAAAAAAAAAAAAAAAACAAAAAAAAAAAAAACCAAAGAAAAGAAAAAGAGGAAGATTGGCAACAGATGTTAACTCAGGGTGAATCTTCCTCACCAAAAAAAAAAAAAAAAAAAAAAAATCTTATTATGAGGCAATTCTTGAAGGGTAGAGTTTGAATTTGCAGTGTTTAATGTACCTGGCTTTAATTATTTTAAGCTTGGAGGACAAGCCCAATCTATGAACAATTTTTTGGCATTGGTCTAAATCAATAGTTATGTTATTGTAACAGTCAATTAAACCTCCATGAACAACAGACAACTTTTGTTTATCTATGTATATTGGGACTGGTGAGAACTTGCATCCCAAAGTTAGTGGAGTGACACTAGACCTGCCCTCTGAAGTCTCTATCTGTAAATAACAGATTTGTTTGCCTAGTAATTAGATGCTTTTCTTTT